TCTACATTTCTGATGCTCGCGCTGATGTTCTAGGAGGCACGGAGTGCGAGTACAGCTATGTGAACTTTAACCATGACGGGAGCCTGCTGGTCAGCGTCAGCCTCGACCTCAGCTACACGCTCACCCTGTGGAACTGGAGACAGGAGGAGTTGATGCACAGCTGCTCGGCCGCCTCACAGGAAGTCTACAGAGTCAGCTTCTCCCCGTACCACCCGAACCGGCTCACATCATCCGGAGCTGGACACATCCGGTAAACGGCTGCGGAGGCTTCAGTTAGTCACGATGTTTTAGTAAACGAACAGAGAGAAAAGAAGGCTGAGGAGGTGGAAAACAGGCTGAGAAAGCTCCGCCCAAAATTTGGGTGAATTGAATCTTTACTAAATACACTTTCTCCTTCTTCTCTGCCAGGTTCTGGAGAATGACATCTAAGGTTAATGGTCTCAAACTACAAGGGATCATGGGGCAGTCTGGAAAATATGACACAACTGATGTTAAAGGCTTCATGGAGCTTCCTGATGGGCGGGTTTGTAGTTTAATGTTTAAAAGTTGGCTTCCAGCAGATGTTAGAAGGGCCAGAACATGTAGAGATCTGCTTTCGTTGTTGGAATGTGGGAGGGTCAAGCTCATCAGCTGTAGACCCTCCCAGATCCCAGTCAGAACCGACAAAGCTCCTCGGATGAGAACCCAAACGTCTTCAAGAAGCCAAAGATGTCCAGATGCCTTCATGGATAAAGAAGAGCTTCAACTTTCCTCGCCAGATGAAGCTCCCATCCCAGCATGCAATGCAGCTCATGAGAATGTCATTAACTTGTCGGTTTTGCCTATCCACACAAGTAAATAATCAAGTGATCCATGGATGAGAACAGAGTTATATGAGGAACAAATATCTGTCAAAGCTGACAGTGATGAACTCACTGAGTCCAAATAATAATATCTGAATAAAATCAAGACGAGTTTTCTACTTCCTGTCTTCAGGACACGTTTTTGTTTCTGAAGCCCGGGTCTAGCATGAAAAATGAGTTTTAGAGGAATGGAAGAGAGTCAGACCTGAGGAAGTTCAGTCTCCAGGTTGTGTTTTACCTGAACACTGCTGCCAACATCTCTTCCTGTCAGGTGGTGTCAGGCACTGAGTGGGGCAACTTGCTGCTTTGGAGCAGAAACACCGTCCAGGTGGAGATTTGTCGTAAAAATGGCAGAAACTGCCACGCCGGGACCGTCCTTCCGTTCGCTCTGGAAGAGGGAAATCTGATGACAGTCGGTGCCGATGGATTTGTTCGGGTAAGAGAAGAAGTACACAGGCTGTGTTTGAAGCATTCACTCAGCCACTACATGGTGTTTTCTGTTGTACGCTTAGGCTGTGGGCAAAACATCACAGCAACATGATGTGAAAGCAGCCCGAAATGAAGAGAATAGTTGTCACGAATAATTAGCTTCCTCATGCTAACGTGCTAGTAACGCATCATGGTGTTACGTAGTGTTGGGAGTAACGCGGTACAAAAGTAATGAATTACTGTAACGCATAGCTTTTTGCTGTAATGTGGTAATGTAAGGCATTACAGGGAAAGAAAATGGTAATATTTACTCGGTACAATTGTCAGTAACGCGGTAGTTACAATGCATTTTTAGACCCAGAATCAAGATGTGGGTTTCCTAAAAATTCAAATTGCAGGAAGCCTGAAAAAAGATCCAGTATCCACATATATGACGTCATTTATGGACTCAGCTTTGCAGGCATTCTATGAGCAGAGTGGACGCAGCGGTAACGGCTCACATACTCCAGCTGCTCCTGCGCGCGGCCGCTTTTATATTCACAAAATCGCTCCACCAAAACAAAGTAATTCGTTTGCGATCGTTTATATCAGCCCATATTCTCTGGTACTTCATGTAATTTTCAGCTGAGTTCATAATCTGTGCCCCGGTGATTTCAACTCATTGCTGCTGGAGCGCAGCGCGAAGCTTTTTTATTTTTATTTATTTTTTTTTTTTGCATTCGGTAGATCCCTTTGGCTGATTAGTTAGAAAGTAGGAAATCTATGAAACAGTTTTTCTGGAAGACGGAGAAAACATGCAGCATGCAGGAAGGTTAGAGAGAGAAAGGGCCGGAAATTATTCACATAAAATCAAGAAAACAAAACAAAGTGCTTGAAAAGAAAAAAGTCGGCAGATTTATCTCCAACACCCATTTTTACCAGTGAAAAGCAATAATATATAAGCATTTAACATTTATACATGTGATAGAATCAGATCACCCCAGAAGTCAGTCCCACATCCAGGGCCGTATCAAGGCATTTGGGGACCAAGGCAAATATAGGCTTGGAGCCCCCACCACCTCACTCCCTGCTCAGTTAATCTAAGATGGCAGCATGCTGAGAGTACAGATTGTTGTTGCTTTTATTTAATAAACAATCATTTTAAAGCACTGTTATTATATCTGACTGTTTTTAACAGCAACCCTAGCTCAGACACCACATCACCTTCCACATATATGTCATGAGCTCACTGAGCGTCACATGACCAGATTCATACTGAAGTTGTTTTGGTGAAAGTAACTTAAAGTAATGCAAAAGTAGTGTAATGCCTTACATTTTAAAATCAGTAATATTGTAATGTAATTAATTACTTTAAAATGAGGGTAACAAGTAATAAATAATGCATTACAGTTTAGAAGTAACTTGCCCAACACTGGTGTTACGTCATGTTTACAGACCAAAGGCCTCAGCAGCTAAACACATCTTTATCATCACTCTGTTCTTATGAGTATGACCCGATCTCAACACTCGCTCTGTGCCCTGCGGTCTTCAGCAAAGTGCACTTGGAGAAAGTGCGCAGTAGGGTTCAAGTGTGTCGTACACAAGTGTGCCAATAATTGGCGAACTGAGACGGGGAGCGTTGCATCATCGATTGCAACACATGCCAGGATGCTTGTCACTGTGAAACTTTTTTCAAAAGCCTTTATTAACAACTCAAACAAACAACAAAGCAATTATTTGAAATACATTTAACTTCACTGCTGCTTTGTCTAAACCGTTCAGAGCATCAACTAGTCATCCTAAAATGAACTCATTTCATTAGAAAATACAAACTTTCAGAAAAAGAACTTGAGCCTTCTCTCCTGCAGCAATGACTTGTGGGTAATACACTTGCCCGAGGTC